TGCCACACAAATGCCAGGCTATGACCATCACCAATAAGAGACAATCTAACCACCACCCTTGACATTCACTTCACTGAAACCCCCACTATCAACATCCTGGGGGTTATCATTGACCAGAAACTTAACTGGACTCACCACATAAACACAGTGGCTACAAGAGCAGGCCAGAAGCTAGGAATACTGCGGCAAGTAACTCACCTCCTGACTCCTCAAATCCTGTCCGCCATCTACAAGGCACAAGTCAGGAGTGTGATGGAATACTCCCCACTTGCCTGGATGGGTGCAGCCCCCGCAACACTCAAGAAGCTTGACACCATCCAGGACAAAGCAGCCCGCTTGATTGGCACTACATCCACAAGCATCCACTCTCTCCAACACCGAAGCTCAGTAGCAGCAGTGTGTACTATCTACACTGCAGAAATTCACCAAAGATCCTCAGACAGCACCTTCCAAACCCACGACCTCTTCCATCTAGAAGGACAAGGGCAGCAGACATATGGGAACACCACCACCTGCAAATTCCCCTCCAAGCCATTCACCATCCTGACTTGGAAGTATATCACCGTTCCTTCACAGTCACTGGGTCAAAATCCTGGAATTCCCTCACTGATGCATTGTGGGTCAACCTACAGCAGATGTACTGCAGTGGTTCAAGAAGGCAGCTCACCACCACCTTCTCAAGGGCAACTAGGGATGGGCAAGAAATGCTGGCCAGCCAGCGACGCCCACATCCCACAAATGAATAGAAAAAAAAATTGGACCCCCTCCAGTTCAAGTGCAACCCGTCCCTCTTGTACAGGTCACCTGTACCCCAGAAGAGATCCCAATGATCCAAGAACTGAAAACCCTGCTCCCTACACCAGCTCCTCAGCCACACATTCATCTGGCCTATCTTTCTATTTCTATCGTCACTGGCTCATGGCACTGGGAGTAATCTGGAGATCATTACCCTTGAGGTCCTGCTTTTTAACTTCTTAACTCCCTGTACTTACTTGACTCTTCATACAGAGAGGTGATGGCCTAGTGATAATATCACTGGACTGTTAATCCAGAGACCCAGGTAATGTTCTGGGGACTTGGGTTTGAATCCCGCCATGGCAAATGGTGGAATTTGAATTCGATAAAAATATCTGGAATTAAGAATCTAATGATACCATGAATCCATTGTCAATTGTCAGAAAAACACATCTGTTTCACTAATGCCCTTTCAGGAAGGAAACTGCCATCCTTACCTGGTCTGGCCTACATGTGACTCCAGATCCATAGCGATGTGGTTGACTCTGAACTGCCTTCTGGGCAATTAGGGCTGGGCAATAAATGCTGCCTAGCCTGCGACACCCTCATCCCGTGAATGAATAAAGAACAATAAGCTCATTTCGCAGTACCCCATCCTTTTTTCTATCTGTGTTATTTGTATCAATGGGGACACTGAGCTCTTGTTGTTCATCCTCCCCCTTCAGAATGTTCTGCAACCACTCAGAGACATCCTTGACCCTGGCACCCGGGAGGCAACACACCATCCTGGTGTCTCTTCTACAGCCACAGAATCTCCTGTCTGTCCCCCTCACAGCTGAGTCTCCTATCAGTATCGCTCTGTCTGACTGCACCCTTTCCCTCTGAGCCTCAGAGCCAGTCACAGTGTCACTGACCTGACCACTGTCGCTAGCCCCCGAAAGGTCACCCCCCCACAACAGTATCTAAAGCAGTATATCTGTTATTGAGGGGAATGGCCACAGGGGAACCCTGCACTATCCTTCCCCCCTTTACTCCTTCTGGTGGTCACCCAGCTGCCTGCAGCCTGCACCTTAGGAGTGACCACATCACTATAGCTCTTATCAATGATGTTCAGTGCACCCTGGATGATCCTGAGAGCATCCAGCTTTAGCTCCCATTCCCTAATGCGGTCTGTCAGGATCTGTACCCGGGTGCACTTCTCATAGGTGTAGCCAGCAGGGACACTGGAAGTCTCCCTGATCGCCCACATCCTGCAAGAGGAGCATGCCAGTACCCTAACTGCCATCCCTACTGCCTTCAGTCTAGACAGAAAGAAAGTAGAGTTAAAGAGCCCCTTACCTGTACCCCTGCTCAGCCTCTCACTCCAAACCTCTCAAGCAAAGGCTTAAGCACTTCCACTCTAACACTGGCCCACTCTCTTAATGGCTGCTCCCTTGTACACCTTTACCTTCCCAGTCGTCCTCCCAACAGAGCCCTTTTTCTTTTAGTCATAGGAGGAGAGAGGTTGGGAAACACCAATATAGTGTTTTGGGTTTTACCACACCTTAACACCAGGTTCTGTCTGACCTGCTGTACAGTCGTGATGGCTGTGGTGATGTCTCCCAGAATTCTACTGCGATGACTCTCGGCTGCCCTCTGATTCACTGGTTTATTTGAAATCACAAACTTTCCATTTCTGAAGAAGGGTCTAGGCCCAAAATGTCAGCTTTCCTGCTCCTCTGATGCTGCTTGGCCTGTTGTGTTCATCCAGCTCTACACCTTGTTATCCGTGGTATAGACACAGTTGGAATGTGCACAGACTAACATTCATGCAATCATTTGCATCAGTATGATGAACCAGATGCCAGATGATGAACAAATGCATTTAAACACAAATAAACCAATCCCATAATACAATCATAGTATGGGTCGCACGGTGGGTCAGTGGTTAGCACTGTTGCCTCACAGTGCCAGGGACCCAAGTTCAATTCCAGCCTTGGGCAACTGTCTGTGTGGAGTTTGCACATTCTCCAGGTGCTCTGGTTATCTCCAGGTGCTCCAGTTTCCTCCTGCAGTCCACAGATGTGTAGGTTAGGTGGATTGGCCATAGGAAATACAAGGTTACAGGGATAGAATAGGAGGGTGAGTCTGGGTGGGGATGCACTGTGGAGAGTCGGTATGGACATTTTGGCCCAAATGGCCTGTTTCCACACTGTAGGGGAGTCTATATGAATTCGGAGTAAGGCCAAAAGATTCCGTGAGCCTGTCCAATACTCAATGATCAAGTCTGAGATGATTATGCAGCAAAGTCGCTTTTCCACTGATCCCCAACAATCTTTGATCTGGTTTTACCACAAGCAAATGTTGATGATTGCAGCTACATTTTTATTAATTAATTATTGATTGGACCCGAGATAATAGGAACTGCAGATGCTGGAGAATCTGAGATAACAAGGTGCAGAGCTGGATGAACACAGCAGGCCAAGCAGCGTCAGACAAGCAGGGTCTAGAAGGGTCTAGGCCCGAAAGGTCAGCCTTCCTGCTCCACTGATGCTGCTTGGCCTGCTGTGTTCATCCAGCTCTACACCTTGTTATCTCTATCATTGATTGGACCCGCCTGTTTTATTGTACCTGACACCACTACAAACGGTTGGTAGGTGGTTTGTCTGAGGGATGACATGTTCCTGTTGTAAGATCTTAAAAAAAATAGAAACAGGCCGTTTTACCCCTCAAACCTGCTCTGCCATGCAGTATTGAGGAGGTAATGGCCTATTGTTATTATTGCTGGACTTTTAATCCAAAGACCCAGGTAACGTTCTGGGGACCCAGGTGCAAATCCTGCTATGGCAGGTGGCGAAATTTGAATTCAGTAAAAATCTGTAATTAATTATCTAATGGTAACCATGAATTGATAATCAGAAAAATTCATCTCGTTCGCTATCCCCCTTTAGTTAAGGAAACCTGCCTTCCTTACCTGGTCTGGTGTACATTTGACTCCAGACCCACAGCAACATGGTTGACTCTTAACTGCCCTCTGGGCTACTAGGGATTGGCAATAAATGCGGCCTCGCCAGTCACTCCTTCATTCCATGAAAGAAGTTTTAAAAAATGCAGGATCATGGCTGATCCAACATGGCTGATCCTCATCTTCACTTTCCTGCATTTTCCCCATTACCCTTGATTCCCTGGCTGATCAAGAATCTTTGTTAAGTGTTTTTTTTACTCATTTTGTGGGATGTGGGTGTCTCTGGCTGGTCCAGCATTTCTTGCCCATCCCTAGCTGCCCTTGAGAAGGTGGTGGTGAGCTGCCTTCTTGAACTGCTCCAGTCCACCTACTGTCGGTTGACCCACAATGCTATTAGGGAAGAATTCTAGGATTTTGACCTAGCGACAGTGAAGGAACGGCGATATATTTCCATGTTTTGCAATTCTTGCTTATCTTTTTGCCTTGTTCTATGCTTTCTTTCTAATTCTTCCAAAGCATCTAATACCTTGAATGCAAATCCTGTCTACAGTCTCTTCATCCTGCAGGCAAACTGGATCAAAGTTAAGATCGCGCTCCCAGTCTCCTACACTCACTCTTTCTTTGGAACTTTATATTATGTATCACTCACCAATAATAACATTCTTATCGCACCTTCAAGATGAAAAACGCCCAAAAGCATCTCCCAGGAGTGTACTCGGATGAAAAATAATTGCAAATGAGCCAAAAATGGAGATGCAAACCCAGAGACTTAGATGTAGACTGATGGCAGTATGGCCACCATTAAGAGGGCAAAGGAAGGGAACACTATGCAAGGCAGCAGAATTGGAGGGACACAGAAGTCTTGGAGGGAAGCCAGAGAGGGATTTAAATGCATGGTGGAGGATTTTAGATTCGATTCGTTGGTAGATCTGCAGCCAATACAGATTGTCAAGAACAGTGTTACTGAGTGAACAGGACTTTCTAAAATTTACTCTTTCATGGGACGTGGAAGTCCATGTCAAGTCTTTGTCGCCTATTGCTAATAGCACCTAAGCTAAGTGGCTAGCTAGAGTATTTCAGAGGGCAGTTAACAATCAAGCATTTTGCTACTGATCTGGAGTCACGTGTAGGCCAGAACACATAAGGACAGCAGATTTCTTTCCCTAAAGAACATTCGACCATGATAAGCAGAGCACAATGCCCGAGATTTATAAACATGATTGTGATCCTTGGTCTATTCTGATTATATTGGCTGGTTTTATGTGGCTTGAGACATTATCTTCAACAAAGAAAAGAGTAATTGACTTCATTTCAACCACAGGGACATCAGGAGACACTGGCAGCTCTGCCATTGAGAGCATCCGAGGAATGGAGAACATGAATATCATTGTGTTGCTTCCACATGGCCGCTGCAGCCCGATTCAGGAGCTACAGATGACAACGGTTATTGAAGATAACGTCCATGTTTTTGCAGGTTTGTGAAAGATTTCCATCCCTCAAGTTGACGCTGTAAGGTTAGCCTTTGAGGTCTTTTCACTTCAGCAGGACCTCAGATAGAGTACCATTTACTGAACAATGGGGAGCAGCCCATCAAGAGTTGTGCAAATGGAAAGCTACAGGCAAGCGTTCCTGATTTTTCCAGTGTATATTGGCTAATGATGAGGTTCTGCCAAAGGCATAGGGCCATGCAACATCCAAATTCCTTATATGTAAAGCAGAAAGAACTAAAATCTTTCACAAACTCAGATACCCCAAAGCACTTTGCAGCAAATTTAGGTTTTGAAATATTTTAAGTGCTTGGGAGAAAGAAGGAGAGTGGGACAAATTGCTGGCACATTAGTTGACAGAAAGTTGGAAGCTTTGGGAAAGTTGCTGGAAGATACTATTTTATTGAAGGCCAATCAGAGAAGATTCACTAGGACGACACCTGGCATGAAGGCATTGTCTTATGAGCAAAGGCCAAACAGGTTGAGACTCTACTCTGCTGGAGAATAGAAGAATGAGATGTGATCTCATTGTAACATATAGGTTTTTTGATGGGTTTGGCAGGGCAAATGCTGAGAAGATATCGTTGGAGAGTCTAGGAACAGAGGGGCATAGTTTCAGAATAAAGGGGTGCCAATTTAAGACTGAGAGGAGGAGGAATATCTTCCCTCAGAGGGTTGAGACTCTTTGGAACTTCTTGCCACAGAGAGCAATGGGGAAGAGTCTTTGTATATGTTTAAGGCCAAGATAGATGGATTCTTGACCAGTTGGGCAATCAAGGTTACAGAGGAAGGGCAGGAAAGTGGATGTGAGGAATGTCAGATCAGCCACGATCCTATTGAATGGTAGAGTAGGCTTGAGACGTCGGATGGTCTACTCCTGTTCCTAGATCATAAGGCTACATAGCTGTCTTCTACGCTGTTTAAATGTGTGAGGGTAACATTGACCTGTGCCTGCCATACTAAATGTGCTTCTCGTAATTGACTGTTTGTCATGCACCCCATCTGAGTACATTTTCCATTGACTTGGAAAACCTTGCTAAGATTTCTAATTTCAAACCAAGTTAAAACAACAGTGAGATGAGGCAACCAATGTCCATGAAGAGTTTGGATTATGGTGTGGTGAACTTCAGTTGAAACAAAATCCAGTGCAGTGGAGAAATGAACTCATTTGCTACTACAAACTTGAATCTACCCACTTCTCCCCCACACTTTACATCCTGCTGATTTGCTCTCTATTGAGACAGCAGTAATAGCACAGACCTGCTCCTGCATTTACCTGCAGCGGTCTAACACGTGAGTCATTAAAACCAGGAGTTGAGACAACAAGGTGTAGAGCTGGATGAACACAGCAGGCCAAGCAGCATCATAGGAGCAGGAAGGCTGACATTTCGGGCCTAGACCCTTTCATCAGGAGTTGATTCATTTTCCTTTCGTTGGAAGCACTGACTAATTACATGACACAATTGGTCTGTTTGTGAGGTTTTGCAATTTTCTCTGGATGACCATGTGTGGAAGGAAGAGATGGATATGTGACAGAGGATGGATGGGAGAAGACTCATGGGCAGAACAGAACAGTTGGGCTGATTTTACTTGTTTTTGAACGGAAAGTTGTATTTGATGAAATGCTCTGCAATGGGTGGAAAGTAAAGCTGCATTGAAACTTTATTTTTAACTCGTTTGTTTAACAGTGAGTAGTGATTTAACTCAGCCCCAAATATCCTTGGGTAAAATATAATGTAGGCAGCTGACTTTCTTAACTCTGGGTTTCCATGCCGCACCAAATTCAGTATCATACCTAAGCACGACGATGCTAAATAGTAATTTGTTGTTCAATGGGCAGTTAAAAATGATAGTGTAGACTGCAGCAATGAGTGTAAATAGTTTTACAATGAGTGTAAGGAGGCATGGGATAGGGGGAAATGTGGCAGATTGGATTCAGAATTGGCTGACCCTTAGAAGACAAAGGGTGGTAGTGGATGGAAAATATTCAACATGGTGCTCAGTTACGAGTGGTGTACCACAAGGATCTGTTCTCAGTTCTCTTCTATTTGTGATTTTTGTAAATGATTTGGATGAAGGAGTGGAAGGGTGGATTAGTAAGTTCGCGGACGATACGAAGGTGGGTCGCGTTGTGGACAGTGCAGAGGGCTGTAGTCGGTTATAAAAGGACATTGATAGGATGCAGAGCTGGGCTGAGAAGTGGCAGATGGAGTTTAACCCTGAAAAGTGTGAGGTGATTCATTTTGGAAGGACAAACTTGAAAGCAGAATACAGGGTTAACGGAAAGACTCTTGGCAGTGTGGAGGAGCAGAGGGTCTCGGGGTTCATGTTCACAGTTCCCTGAAAGCTGCCACCCAGGTGTATAGAGTTGTTAAGAAGGCGTATGGTGTGTTAGCTTTCATTAATAGAGGGATTGAGTTCAAGAGCTGTGAAGTTATGCTCCAGCTATACAAAAGCCTGGTTCGGCCACATCTGGAGTATTGTGTCCAGTTCTGGTTGCTTCATTACAGGAAAGATGTGGAAGTGTTGGAAAAGGTGCAAAGGAGATTTACCAGGATGTTGCCTGGAATGGAGGGAAAACCTTACTAGGAAAGGTTGAGAGAGCTAGGGCTTTTCTCTTTAGAACAACAAAGGATGAGAGGTGATTTGACAGAGGTGTACAAAATGATCAGAGGTATAGATAGAGTGGACAGCCAGAGACTTTTTCCTAGGGTAGAGGAAGCTATTACGAGGGGGCATAGTTTTAAAGTGAGTGGAGGTAGATATAGGGGAGACGTATCAGGTAGGTTCTTTACTCAGAGAGTGGTAGGGGTGTGGAATGCATTGCGGGAGAGGGTGGTGGAATCGGCCTCATTAGGAGCATTTAAGTGGCTATTAGATAGGCATATGGATGATAGTATAAGATAGGGGTGGAGGTTAGATAGACCTTAGGATTAGAGTAAAAGTTCGGCACAACATCGTGAGCTGAAGGGCCTATACTGTGCTGTACTGTTCTATGGTCTGTATGTCAGTCAGCACATTCTGTTCAGCTCTAGTAAATGGCTGAGGCAGAAAGTATGTCACCATTACAGATCAGATTGGATAAGGTGGATGAAAGTATCTTGGACTGGGTGGGTATTATTTTACGACTCTCTGCTGGTGTTGCATGTCTTGTTTTCATGTTGTAACTTATGTGCACAGCTGAAAAAAAGATATTCATCAAGACAATTAGCAAGAATACCAATTTAAGGGGAAATCATGATTATATTGCATGAAAGGAGAGTGCTGATTGGGAGTCCACTTGCCAACCAATCAGCACCTTCCTCTCATACAATATAAATGTTGACTTTTCCTGAAAATTGGTATTCTTGCAAATTGTCCTGATGAGCGCGAAACGAAACACTTCGACAATATGTGTCTCTTAGCAATACGCAAGTTCTGTATTACAAAACACCTGGTTGTAACCTCTGTACATTTCTATGTTTTCTTTTATCTGCCCTGTGCTTTTTATTCAGTTGATGGCACAAGTGACGAGTTGGACGAGCCAATCCGGAATGTGTTTGCTGACACTGAGTTTGTGAAGAAATACAACATAATGAGCTTGAACTCCATCAACTGGGCCCGTGTCATGGTGCAGATTGCACACTATTTCTACGCTTACTTCCAGTGTAGCCCTTCCATGCAGAACATTCCCCTTCCTTTGGTGGAGGTAGTTGTACCAACAGGAGCAGCGGGCAACATCACAGGTAAGTACAGGACAGAATATCCTGCCTTACACAACACCTCTGGTTCACTCTATAGTGACAGTCATTGACATGATACCATTCCTCTCCCACCCACCCACCTGTGAAAGCAGACGGTGCCTCAGTTTAAATTCCCCAGCTGAATGGGGCAGCCTCTGACAGTGCAGCTCTCTTTCAGTACAATACTGGGAAGATCGGCATAGAATAAGTGCTCAGGTTTCTGACCATAACACCAAAGCAAATAGAAACAGGAGTAGGCCATTTTGCCCCTTGAGCCTGCTCTGCCATTCAATAGGATCATGGCTGATCTGACATTCCTCATGTCCACTTTCTTGCCCTTTCCCTGTAACCCTTGATTCCCCGACTGATCAAGAAGCTATTTGTCTCAGCCTTAAATATACACAAGGACTCTGCCCCAACGAATTCCAAAGACTCTCAACCCTCTGAGGGACGAAATTCCTCCTCATCTCAGTCTTAAATTGGCACCCCTTAATTGTGAGACTATGCTCCTCTAGTCCTGCATTCTCTCATAAGGGGGAACATCTTCTCAACATTTACCCTGTCAAGCCCCTTAAGAATCCTATACGTTTCAATGAGATCACCTCTCATTCTTCTAAACTTCAGTAGAGTCCCAACCTGTTTAGCCTTTGCTCATAAGACAATGCCTCCATGCCAGGGTTCATCCTAGTGAATCTTCTCTGACTTGTCTCTAATGAAATGATGTTTTTCCTTAAATAAGAGGACCAAAACTGCTGATAGTTCTCCAGATGTGGTCTCACCAGCACCTTGTACTGCTGCAGTAAGACTTTTTTATATTCATTCATGGGATGAGGGCATCACTGGTTAGGCAGCATTTATTGCCCATCCCTAATTGCCCAGAGGGCAGTTCAGAGTCAACCACATTGCTGTGGGTCTGGAGTCACATGTAGGCCAGACCAGGTGAGGATGGCAGTTTCCTTCCCTAAAGGACATTAGTGAACCAGATGGGTTTTTCCCCCAACAATCGACAATGGATTCATGGTCATCATCAGACACTTAATTCCAGACATTTTATTGAATTTAAATTCCACCATCTGCTGTAGTGGGATTCGAACCCGGAACCCCAGAATGTTACCTGGGTCTCTGGATTAACACTCCAGCGATAGTACCACTAGGCCATCACCTTCCCCCTTCTTATATTCTTTCACTTCTTATACTTCCCTACTCTTATAGTGCAACCCCCTTGAAATAAGGGCTAACATTTCATTAGCCTCAATAAAGTGTGGAGCTGAGGAACGCAGCAGGTCAGCCAGCATCAGAGGAGCAGTAGAGTAGACCCTTCATCAGGACTGCCCTCCTGAATACCTGCTGTACCCGTGTGCCAGCTTTCTGAGTTTCATGCACAAATGCCCTCAAGTCCCTTGCAACTTTTCTCCATCTAAGTAATATTATTTTCTTTGGCTTTCCCTTCCAAGATGAACAATTCATACTTTCGTACATTACATTCCATTTGCCAATGTTTTGCCCACTTACTTAACCTATCAATATTACTCTGTAAACTGTTTATATCCCTCTCACAACCTGCCTTTCCACCAGCTTTGTGTTGCCTGAAAATTTGGCGACAGTAAATTCACTTCCTTCCTCCAAGTCATTAAGATATATTGTAGACAGCTGCAAGTCCCAGCATTGATCCCAAAGAAGCTCTTATATTCAGTTTTGACATTTCTCATGAGTTTGCTCTTGTAATTTATTTTCTCTGACTTTATTATCTTTTGAATCTTTCTTTGCTGGATTCTGAGTTGATCCCAGTCTTCAGGGCTAGCATTGACTTTTGCCTCAATTGTTCTGGAGTGGGACTTGAACTCACCACCAGCTGACTCAGAGGCATTTTTGCAAGCATTGTGGGATAAGATTGGGATTGCTCCAGCAAAACGCTAGCACAGGATGAGCCATTTGAACTCATCCTATACTTGTGCATGGCTATCCTGCAATTATCAAGCTCCTAATCTTTGTTCATCTGTCTAAATATGACATGCCATTCAGATCGATGTATGCCTAGCTCGTATGGATTACAGGAAACCAGGTTTTCACAGATATGATGATTTTCTGAGGTTGCCATGCATTTTCTATGTTCCCTTAAATTTCTGTGATTTAATTGTATGTGGTTTATCTCATTCAATTCCATCGCTGTCTTTCTCAGCTGGAAGTATCGCTCAGATGATGGGTCTCCCAATTCGATTAGTTGCAGTGGTCAATGAAAATGACATTATTCACAGAACCATTCAGAACGGTGACTTCTCCTTGGCTGATTCAATTAAAGCTTCCTTGGCACCATCCATTGACATCCAGGTATGCTGCTGTTTATCAATAATCATTGGAGAGGTGGTGGCCTAGTGGTATTATCGCTGGACTGTTAATCCAGAGACATAGATAAACTGCTGGGGACCTGGGTTTGAATCCCACCATGGCAGATGGTGGAATTTGAAGTCAATAAAGAAAAATTTGTAATTAAGAGTCTAATGATGAACATGAATCCATTGTTGATTGTTGGAAAAATCCATCTGGTTCACTAATGTCCTTTAGGGAAGAAAAACTGCCATCCTCACCTGGTCTGGCCTACATGTGACTCCAGACCCACAGCAATGTAGTTGACTCTTAACTGCCTTCTGGGCAATTGGACTTGGGCAATAAATGCTGCCTAACCAGCGGCGTCCTCAACCCATTAATGAATAAATGAAAAAATCTGTCCCAAAGGTGCACAATTACTTTGATATCCTAATGTCCAATTGTACAGACACATGTGAACCCATCTTTCAACCTTGGGGTTATAGCCAGCTCAGTAGAGGCAGTGGGTGACTGGAGGACAGAAAGCTTCCAAGTAGCTGAAATCCCAACCTCACAAGCTTCACCTCTTTAGAGTCATAGAGTTGTACCGCACAGAAATATACCTATCGGTCCAACTTGTCCATGCCAACAAGATATCTTAAATTAGTCTAGTCCCATTTGCCTGCATTTGGTCCAGATCCCTCTAAAACCTTCCTATTCATGTACATATCCGGATGTCTTTTAAATATTGTAATTGTACCAGCCTCCACCACTTCCTCTGGCAGCTCCGTCCACACACGTATCACCCTCTGTGTGGAAATGTTGCCACTTAGGACACTTTTATATCTTTCCCCTATCACCTTAAACCTATGCCGTCTAGTTTTGATCTTCCCCACCCTGGGGAAATGATCACGACTATTTTATAAACCTCTATAAGGTCACCCCTCAGCCTCTGATGCTCCAGGGAAAATAACCCAGCCTATTCAGACTCTCTCTCTATAGCTCAAACCCTCCAATCCTGACAACATCCTTGCAAATCATTTCTAAATCCTTTCAAGTTTCACAACATCCTTCCTGTAACAGGGAGATCAGAACTGAATGCAGAATTCCAAAAGTGGCCTAACCAATGTCCTGTACAGCCACAACATGACCTCCCAACTCCTATACTCAATGCACTGATCAATAAAGGCTATGAGAACTGAGGGGCTCCTGCTCAGTCAGGCAAGAGATAGTGAAAAGGAAAGAAAGATTATATTTACACAGGGTCTTCCACAATGTCCCAAAGCACTTCACAGCTAATTCAGCATCTTTGAACTCTTTACTGTTGTATTGAGCTAATTTACTAATTAGCTTCCAGTTAATTTGCTTACAAGCTAGCTCCCACAAAGAGCAAAACGCTACTTACGAGATAATCTACTTTTGGGATTTTGATTTGAGATTACATATTGATCAGGATACTAGGAATATCTATCTTGATCGTCTTCAAACTAATCCTGTTGAATCTTTGCCAACATCAGAGGAGCAGGAATCATCTCTGTTTAATGTCTGATTCAAAAGATGCCAATGTTAACAGTGCAACACCTACTTAGCAGTGACATGTCACAGTTTATACTCAAGTCCTGGAATGGGACTTGTGTCCACCAGCCTCTGATTCCGAGGTGATGGGACTCCTAGCTCACAACATGAGTGAACTTTGTCTTATTTCTGCAGGAACCCTATAACATGGAGAGAATATTTTGGTTGTTGTCGGACAAGGATAGCACCTTGATCAAAAAGCTGATGGAGGAATTCCAGAAAATGGGCAAAGCTAACATGCCAGAAGTCTTGTCCACAAAGGTCAGTACTTCTGTTGTTTGATAATTGATTAGTATTGGTGCAGATTTGCTCTCAGTAGCCAAGGACTGGTGCTGGTCACTCACCTCACTGATAACTGCCCATTGACTATACATGGCCTTGTCAGAGGAGATTTCCAATCATGTCCATGTAGTGCCTTGTATTAGGTGTGATGCACCTATGGATGGGGCAGGCAACAGTGAGACATATCGCACCTAATCAATCAAGTACCTGTCCTGAGATGCAGAAAGACCAAACTAGGAAATGTACAGCAGGGAATGTAAATTTGTTTTTAATGATGTATAGAAGGTAAAATGATGACTGTGAAATACAGGTGGAATTAGGGGGAAGAAAAAAATAGTCAAATGGAAAATGTAAACAGATTTTTCTTTCAAGATAAAGCTACACCATTCGCCTTCATCTGTAGGAATGAGAATCCACACTTGTAAAATTAACTTTTCAGGTCCAAACAGTTTGTTCCACAGTAATAATCATTTATTAGTCTATTTAAGTGCTCTTAAATGTGCCACTTTTAAACAATACAACCATTCAACAATTAGCAAGATGGCGGCACTGTAGGACGCTCCGGTCAGAGCTCCTCTGCTCACCATTCCCTTTCCCTTTTTTTCCTCCTCTTTGTAGCTTTTCTTTCCTTTCTCCCCGCCGCCCACCCCTCCCCCACCCTACCTGGAGAGTGGAGTTGAGGAGTGGAGCAAGCGGACCGTGCCCCATGGGAGAACAAGCATGTGCCGAGTCTCAGGGCGGGGCGGAGCAAAGGGGCCGAGTCCCAGGGTGGAGCGAAGGGGCCGAGTCCCAGGGCGGGGCGGAGCAAAGGGGCCGAGTCCTAGGGTGGAGCGAAGGGGCCGAGTCCCAGGGCGGAGTGAAGCGAAGGGGCCGAGTCCCAGGGCGGAGAGGAGTGAAGGGGCCGAGTCCCAGTGCCTAGTCTGAGGATGAGATGTTGTTCCTTCAGCTTGCACTGTGATTACTGGAGCACTTCAGCATGCTGAAGATAGACAAGTGCATGTGCGAGGAGGACGCTGTGTTAAAATGACCGGCTACGGGAGAGTTAGGGTCGTGTGGAGAGACAATGGTATTATCGCTGGACTGTTAATCCAGAGACCCAGATAAAGTTCTGGGGACCCAGGTTCCAATCCCGCCATGGCAGATGGTGGAAGTTGAATTCAATAAAATATCTGGAATTAAGAATCTAATGATGACCATGAATTCATTGTCGATTGTTGGAAAAACCCATCTGGTTCGCTAATGTCCTTTAGGGAAGGAAACTGCCATCCTTACCTGGTCTGGCCTACATGTGACTCCAGACCCACAGAAATGTGGTTGACTCTAAACTGCCCTCTGGGCAATTAGGGATGGGCAATGAATGCTGCCTAGCCAGCAACGCCCTCATCCCATGAATGAATAAAGAAAAAAAAATGCTTGCGCACAGACCGGAGGTGTTCCACAAAGCAGTCACTCAGTCCGTGTTTGTTTTCTCCGATGTACAGTAGGCCACATTGGGTGCAGCGAAAACAATACACAAGATTGGAGGAGGTACAGGTGAAATGCTGCTTCACCTGGAAACACTGTTTAGGCCGTTGGATGGTGAGCAGGGAGGAGGTGAGGGGGCAGCTGTTACACCTCCTGGCGTTACATGGGAAGGTGCCATCAGAAGCGGAGTAGTGTTAGTGATCAAGGAATGGACTAGGTTGTCCCGGAGGGAACAATCCCTGTGAGATGCAGACAGAGGGAATGAGGGGAAGATGTGTTTGGTGGTGGTGTTCTGCTGGAGTTGTTTGAAATGGTGGAGAATGATCCTTTGAATGCGAAGGCTGGTGGGCTGAAAATTGAGAACAAAGGGGACCTGATCACACTGTTGTGAGCGATGGGAAGGGGCAAGGGTGGAGACATGGATGATAGGTTGGATGCGGTTGAGGGCCCTGTCAAGCACTGTTTGGGAAAAGAAGAAGGAAGCCATGTCAGCAGCACTGTTTTGGAGGTGGCATCGTCCAAACAGATGCAACGTAGGCGAAGGAACTGGGAGAATGGAATGGAGTCCCTGCAGGACATGGGGCGTGAACAGCTGTAGTGAAGGTAGCTATGGGAGTCAGTGGCTTTGTAGTGGTTGGCAGTGGACACTTAATTCCCAGAAATAGAGACGGAGAGGTCAAGGAAAGAAAGAGAAATGTTGGAAATGGACGACGTGAAGGTTGTCGATGAGTGGAAATTGGAGGCAAAATGAACAACTCTTACAAAGTCCTGATGGGAGCATGAAGCGGCACCGAAACAATTGTCGATGTACAGAGAAAAGAAAAACCAAAAGAACTGCGGATGCTGTAAATCAGGAACAAAAACAAAGTTGCTGGAAAAGCTGAGCAGGTCTGGCAGCATCTGTGGAGGAGAAAACAGAGTTAATGTTTCGGGTCCGGTGATCCTTCCTCAGAACTGATGGTGGCTGGGAAAACGTCAGTTTATATGCAGAAAATAGGGAGGTGGGTGGGGTAGGGAGTAAACGATAGGATAGAGCCCAAAGAGAGAGAAAGACAGTTGGACAGACAAAGGAGTTGCTAATGATCAGGCTGGGAGGGTGAATAGTTGTTAATGGGGACTGTTAGTGACTAACAACAGGGGGTGTGCAGTGGCAGGCGGTGTGGTAACAAGGCCTGGTGTGTGGGGTGGGGGGCTGGGACATGGGAGAGTTTAGGCCCTAAAATTATTGAACCCAATATTGAGTCCGGAGGGCTGTAGGGTCCCCAAGCGGAAAATGACGTGTTGTTCCCCCAGCTTGCGCTGGGCTTCACTGGAATACTGTAGCAAGCTGGAGACAGAGATGTTGGCCAGGGAGCAAGGTGGTGCACGGAAGTGGCAGGCAACAGGTAGTCCAGGGTCTTTTTTGCGAGCAGTTCTCTCAGTTCCTCCATGTCCGTTGCATATGTTCAGATGAGGCCAGCTTCGACAAGGGAGCCTCTGAAATGTCCACATTCTTCCTCAACCGAGGATTCCCCAGCTCCATTGTCGACAGGGCCCTCAATCGGGTCTGACCCATCTCCCGCACTTCTGCCCTCACCCCTTCTCTTCACTCCCGCAACAGCCATAGGGTTCCCCTTGTCCTTACCTACCATCCCACCAGCATCCACATCCAGAAGATCATCAGATGCCATTTCCGCCACCTCCAGCAAGATGCCACCACCAGACACATATTCCCCTCTCCTCCCTTGTCTGCCTTCCGCAGGGACCGTTCCCTCCGAGACACCCTGGTCCATACCTCCTTCACCCCCAACACCTCCCCACAGCCCTACGGCACCTTCCCCTGTAACCGGCGAAGGTGCAACACCTGCGCATTTACCTCCTCCCTCCCCAGTATCCAAGGGCCCAAACATACCTTCCAGGTGAAACAACACTTCACCTGCACTTACAAGAATCTAGTCTACTGCATTCGCTGCTCACAATGTGGTCTCCTCTACATTGGGGAAACGAAGCATAGGCTTGGCGACCGCCAAAACCAGTCCAGCTCGTCCCTGCCTCCCTAACCTGTTCTTCCTCCCACCTATCCCCTCCTCCCACCTCAAGCTGCACCTCCATCTCCTACCGACCAACCTCATCCCGCCCCCTTGACCTGTCCGTCCTCCCTGGACTGACCTATCCCCTTCCTAACTCCCTACCTACACTCACCTTTACTGGCTCCATCCCCGCCTCTTCGACCTCCATTCCCGCCTCTTCGACCTGTTTGTTTCCTCTCCACCTATCCTCTCCTCTATCCCTCTTCTATCCGCCTCCCACTCTCTCCCTATTTATTTCAAAACCCCCTTCCCCTCCCCCTTTTCTGATGAAGGGTCTAGGCCCGAAACGTCAGCCTCTCTGCTCCTATGATGCTGCTTGGCCTGCTGTGTTCATCCAGCCCTGCACCTTGTTGTCTCGGATTCTCCAGCATCTGCAGTTCCTACTATCTCTGGTGGTATATGAGGATTGTTCAGTCCTCTCAGACCATCCTGGAAATGGAGTTATAGAGGGATTGAACATCCATGCTGAAGAGGGGGAAGTTAGGCCCAGGGAACTGGAAATTGTCAATGTGGTGGAAGGCATCAGAAGAATCACAGAAGTAAGTGGGCAGGGTCTGGACAAGTGGAGAGAGGATAGAGTCAAGGTAGGAGGAAATGAGCTCGGTGAGGCAGGAACAGGCTGATACAATGGGTCTACCAGGGCAGTCTGGTTTGTGGATTTTGGGAAGGAGGTAGAAGTGAGCTATCCAGGGTTGGGAGTCTATAAGGTTGGAGGCAGTTGGTGGGGCTGTGGTGGGGAAGATCTCTGGAGATAGCAAAGTAATGTTGACCACATAATTTGTTACTTAAGACAATGAGTGATTTATGGCTCTTTCATTAATGTACTTGTAATAATTGAGGTAGAATTTGTTCACTAATTTCGGCATAAATTCAGTTCAGATTCAGGGCTAGCATCTTTCACAGTTTTGGGTCCATTATGCAATGTAAGTGTAATACAGCAAGGGTCACTGGTCTTTCAACTCTTTATTTTATGTTTTTACCTTCAGAAACACCTGGGTTAAAGTTGAACTGAGATTTATCCAGTACATTAGTTGCCAGGATCAGCTGTGAGGAGTTTGACTTCCGATTTGTTCGGTGAAGCAGCGTGTTTTGCTGGAATTCCAATTTGCGTTGACAAATCTGGCTTGCTTCTCACTGCTTGTGAAACGTTGAGACCCAGCAGGAAGTTTTCACTCAGCATCCGCATGTTAACATTCAACACTGAAACCTTCTTGGTATGATTCCTCATGGAGATGTAATGGAGAGTCAGGGAGCCATGAGGATCTACCCCATCGGATATTACAGGATATATAAGCAGCGCAGGTTATTTTCAGGGCCTTAGTAAAGTCTATAGAAGAGTGAGGTTCACCAGAGAGGCAGTGGAGCAAAGCTGCAGCCTACCACAGTGAGGATCTGCTGCCACATTCTAATGCCTGCAGTGCTGTCTCACAGGTTACAAAGGTGACTGCCTCCATTCAGCCTTTCTGAGCAAGCTTGTTTGAGGTTTGATCTCTGGAACCTCATTCAAAATACTTGCGTCCTCAGTGTCAGACTCCATGATGGTGCTGCCATGATCTGAGAACCTGTTGGTTGTACACTGTTTACACTTGCACAGGTAGAGTGGCTTCTTAGGTGAGATATCATCAGAGAGAGCATGGTGGATGCCAAGGTGGCTCAGTGGTTAGCACTACTGCCTCACAGTGCCAGGGATCCAGGTTCAGTTCCAGCCTTTGGGTGACTGTCTGTGTGGAGTTTGCCTGTTCTTTCTGTGTCTGTGTGGGTTTCCTCCGCGAGCTCTGGTTTCCTGCCAGAGTTCTAAGATATACAAGTTAGGTGGATTGGCCATGCTAAATTGCACACAGTGGCCAGTGATGTGTAGGTTTAGTGGATTAGCCATGGTGAATACAGGTTACAGGGATAACGTAGGGGTCTGGGTCTGGGTCTGGGTGGAATGCTCTCTGGAGGGATGCCACAGACTCGATGGGTTGGATAGCCTCATTCCACTCTGTAGAGATTCTATGCAGCCAACAACAATGTAACAGTGTCCCCACAGAAAGTTAGAAGCTTCTGCACCCAAGGGGTCTTGTCATCAAGGTCAACGTGCTCTCGATCCTTAATGAGTGATGGACCTGCCAGGCCCCTGGGCGAGCCCTATTTTACACTAATACCTCACCCACTCCGAGAAAAGGTTCGGTGACCTGGCACTGTACCAGATGAGACATTTGCTGCGGCCTACGGTTGGAATGAGGGAGGTTCGATGTTGCTATGATGATTGTTGGGTCACTGAGACGACCTTTAACCTGGTGCCACTCTTGTTCCTGTGCAGCTGGTGCAAACATTTGATTCATGCACCGTGAATGATGACAGCGTGATTGCAACTATGCTGCGTTGTTGGAAGGAGAATGAGTATTTGCTTTGTCCTCACTCTGCTGTCGCTGTCGCATACCATTATCAAGAATTGGGCCTGGACACCAGGAGGTAATGGGATTAGCCTGTTGGTCAAACTTTACCTCATTCAACAATCTAACTTGCATGGTAGCACCAAATGTGTGGAAGCTGTTAAGAGCACAAAACAAGGTGTATTCCACCAACAAGGCTGAACATTTACATCCCAAAGGTGGATCCAAGAAATGTGTTTGTAATAACTATTTATCAAAAGAAAACTAACTTAATTTCATTTAACAGCTTATTACACCGAGAAGAAATCTCTCAGTGCTTAGCATAACATAACAGGAAAATGATGGCCTAGTGGTATCATTGCTGACTATTAAACCAGAGACCCTGGTAATGTTCTGGGGACCTGGGTTCAAACCCTGCCATGGCAGATGGTGGAATTTGAATTCAATAAAAATCTAGAATTAGGAGTCTAATGAAGACCATTGTCGATTGTCAGGAAAAAGACCCATCTGGTTCACCAGTGTCCTTTAGGGAAGGAAACTGCCATCCTTACCTGGTCTGGCCTACACATGACTCCAGACCCATAGCAACGTGGTTGACACTAAACTGCCCCTTGGGCAATTAGGGATGGCCAATAAATGCTGGTCTGACCAGTGATGCCCCCATCCCATGAATGAATAAAAATTTTTCACACAGAAAAATTCCAGAGATAACAATGGAATCTAATTGAGATGATGGAAGGATTCAATCGGGAAAGTATGAGAGAAACATTTTCGTCATGTGTGGGGAGAGTCAGTAACAAAAACCACCTTAATGCAAGGACTAAGCCATTTGGGCTCAATATTAGGAAGCAATTCTTTACACACAGGAAATCTAGTACTCTCTCCCTCAAGAAACTGTCATGATTATAGCAGATTGAGGCCCAATTCTTGGTCAGTTGAAAATTTCAGAACTGAAATTGGGAGATTTTTGGTAGGTAAAAGTAGTAAAAGTTACAGAACCAAGGACGGTAAAGGGAAGTGAGTTTTAGGTCAAGTTTGATATAATTAGGAGTTAGGATTGGTTTCAGAGGCTGAATGGCTTGTTCCTGTCCCATTGTCAGTCCAGTTGGTCACTTTTGCAGATGTGAGTTCAGGGAGGACTGTTGGCAAGCAGTGAAGATTCTCTATTGTTCTTGTAATATAAGAGCACAGGAAATGGGAGCAGGCGTAGGCCGTTCAGCCCTTCAAACCAGTTCCATCATTCAACACTAGTATTTGGCCTAAGAAGCAGACTTACGCATTTTCTTGACGTCTCATCCAACTAGGAAGGAAGGAGCGGTATGTATAAGGAAGGTGGCGGGTGTTTGTGGGTGCCATGCATGGGATGGGTTTGGGGACATGGCAAAAAATAATCATCAAAAGCTGCTTTTTTTGGGTCGTGAGGACTAAGCGGTAATTTGACATTGTCTTTTTGGGAGTACCATTCTGCAATGTCTTTATCTTTCTTTTCCTTTGTTGTCACTGTCCAGGAATAAGTCAGTAGAACAACCTAAACCCTAATGCTTTCCATCTCTCTGTACTTAGCGTTCCTAGATGTTGCCTAGCAACTGCCACTGCTGCTAAGTTTCCAGAGGCTGTGCTGAAAGCTGGACTAACTCCGGAGATTCCGCTTGAAATCCGTGCTTTGGAGACCATGGATACACGGTGTACGGCAATGAAGATAGGAGATGACTGGGAAAAGATTCTCTACCAAAAAATCGAGGAAATTAATGCATTCAGAAAAACATGAATACCTTCCCAGAACATGTCAATGTCCTTGGTTTCACCAAACTAACATTTGATACCTCGATAGTGGAAGGACACATTCTCTAGTTCTGCATGGGTGTGTTTAGAGTGTCCTGTCCAAATCCCCACAGTGTTCCAAGATCTCACTAGACCTGCTGTTGACATGAGATTAGGTTTGGATGAACTAACTTAACATATTTGTCAGCTCAGCTTCTTCCCTGCTTGTTTGTTCCTGATGGTACTCCGTCTTATTTCCCTTGTCCTCAGGGAGTTCGTTATTGCTGAATTGATGCTGACTGACATTGAGGTTGTCAATCACAGAAAACCTCCAGGCAACATATGACAGTGCTACAGGATGCTGACAGTCTGGGCCTATCCCTTCCTAGTTATTTATTTCTCAATAGTCCATACGACCTGACTGTGGACAGTGTCTGGTTCAGGACTGGAAGGGTTTCCTTGAGCTACTAGCTGCATTGTGTTTCCTTTTCTGTAGTTTGCCATTTTTCCCCTTCAGCACTCTTCAATCTTCCTACTTTTCTGTGAACCCGATTTTTCTCCTGGACAAGTCTTCATCTTCTCTCTTTGTCTCTCTCAGCACCTTGGAAAAGTCTCATTGAGCCTCCTTGTTACCAGTAAACACAACTGGTCTATCCAGCCCCCTTCCAACACTCCTTCCAGTGCATCCATTGTAGGCTACATCTTGACAATTTTCTTCAATGCCCAACTCACTGCATGCTTCAATGCTAGCCCTGTAGACTTTCTCAGTGGTTTAGCTGTCTCCATCTCCCTCTAGATGTCTCTTCACTCTTGAATGATGTCTTTTCTATCCACAAACTTATTATGGATGATTGCTTTGACATCTTGGCGTCATCTGGCTGACAGCTGGTGACTCCTTCTCTCTAACTGCAGCTTTTTCACCTGAATAGAGCAATCTGCTACTTGTTCTGCACAATCATTGCTGTGGCAGTGCAGGTCTTAGCACCAAATCACACCCCCGAACTCTTTTTGTGCCTATGCCATTTTCTTCCCTTTGAGCACTCCACCTTCTTCCACCTTTCATTCAAAATTCCCATTCTATATTGCCCATCCAAGTGCAATGGCATGTTAAAACCTGAGATACCTTCCTCCCATCTATCCCCTCCTCCCACCTCAAGCCCCACCCCCATCTCCTACCTACTAACCTCATCCCGCCCCCTTGACCTGTCCGTCCTCCCTGGACCGACCTATCTCCTCCCTACCTCCCCACCTACACTCACCTTTACTGGCTCCATCCCCGTCTCTTTGACCTGTCTGTCTCCTCTCCACCTATCTTCTCTATCCATCTTCTATCCGCTTCCCCCTCTCTTCCTATTTATTTCAGAACCCCCTTCTCCTCCCCCATTTCTGAAGAAGGGTCTAGGCCCGAAACGTCAGCCTTCTTGCTCCTCTGATGCTGCTTGGCCTGCTGTGTTCATCCAGCTCTACACCTTGTTATCTCAGATTCTCCAGCATCTGCAGTTCCTACTATCTCTTATACCTTCACTGTTGATGTCCTCAGCTTCCGCGCCAACTGGTTTCGCATACTTGGTGCTTTCAACCTTCATTTCTGCAGTGCATCTTGTAGATAGTACACATTGCTGCTACTGAGCAGTGGAGCAGTCAGTCAGTAGTGGAGGGAATAGATGCTTGTGGACGTGATGTCAATCAAGTGGGCTGCTTTGTCCTGGACTGTGTCAAGCTTCTTGAGTGTTTTTCGAGTTGCACCCGTCCATGCAAGTTAGGAATGTTCCATCACACTCCTGATTGCCTTTCCCCAGACGATTCAGGTCTTTTTGTATTTAGAGGTGGAAGTGTAAATTGGATATCTTTGAAAGTCCAAATCTCTTTCACCTTAGAATTAAATGGACACTTTAATGCATAACTCCTTACAGCCTCATACCTTGAACACCTTTCTTGGCCTTTGGGAGACTCCAAGATGACCATAATGAACTCAGAGAGTCTTATTTTTCATCATACTTGCTTTGGTGTCATGACTTTGGCTATGAACTCTTTCCCTGGGCTTCTTTGCCTCACTGTCTCTGTCTGGCCAAGTGTTTGGTTACCTGTCTTATTGTTCTTTGTGTGACTTGGCTTCAAATGTTGTTGCATGTTATCTCTGAAGTATCCTGGAGTGATTCATAACATTAAAGGCGCTATATGTTGTCACGATGTTTCACATGATGTCCCAATTTCTGGCGAGGGATAGGTCAACATCTTCACGTTGCAATCAAAGTGCATGTGCTGTGCTGGTTTCTGATAGTACTTTAATTTCCTAGCCTATTATAGTTCATTAAATCCGTCCCCTAAGGCTCTTTACTCATATTTCCCTTCTGCTTTAATTGACAACATGCTCTGAACTGACATTTCAGTGTCCTCAGCTCCCAGTGATTTTGTGCACGTCAGTATCTGGAGCAGTAGATAATTGTCCAAATGCAAATTCAGAAGGTAAGAGAAGGGATGCACTGTATGTCCTTCCCACATTATCATGTCTGCTGAGGATAGCTTGGAAGGAACAATTGATCGTTCCAAAGTTTTACGCCACTGAAATTTTCTCATTTCATGCCTGTTTCGGATGTCGATCAATCACATTCATTATTTCAGCAAATCCTTTATCATTGTGTAATGGAACTAAAAGGATGGTAGAAGGTGAGTTAGATACATCATTGTCTTTTCTTTAGACTAGGAGTTACTCCTTTTTTAAATAAATTCCTGCACTTGGAAAATTGAGTTCAAATAACACAGACCCCCACCTAAGTGATTTACACTCAGCATTCAATATCTCAAAATCTCACTGTGTGAACTATAGTGTATGAACATTTAATATATTTGTATTAAAGTTCTTTGTTACCAGTTCACCCTGAAGGCTTCTGAACCGTTTATTTTTGACTCAGAAATGCATGGTCTGGTTTACAGCTGAATTATCTCAAATCTTTTGTCCAATTTCAGGAAATAAATTATACACCGTTAAGAAATAAAAGAAGGCATCAGTATCCGAATGTATCAATGAGAATCTAACCCTCTATGTTTTAGCACAATGCTGTCATCTCACCAGCCGTACAATGCCTTGAGATCTCTCAATGTTAGCACAGAAGAAATAGGAGCAGGCCATTCAGCCCATTGAACCTGCTCCACCATTCAATAAGACCTTGGCTGATCAGATTGTAGCATTAACATCACTTTATTTCCAGCCTCCCTAATCCTTGAATTTCTTATAAATTAGAAATGATTCTAATTTAGCTATGTACAGAGTCAATGTTCCAGTCAGAAATTCGAAACGTCCATAAGGACTCTCACCAACGTTTATAGATGCACCATAGAAAGCATCCTATCTGGGTACATTATGGCCTGGTACGGCAACTGCTCTGCCCAGGACTATAAGAACCGACAGACAGTTGTGAATGCAGCCCAGTCCATCATCCTTGCCAACTTTGCATTCATTGATTCCATGTATACTTCTCGCTGCTTCAGAAAGGCAGCCAACATCATCAAAGACCCCTCCCATCCTAGTTATAATCTCTTCCAACCTCTTCAGTCAGGCAAAAGATACAAATCTGAAACACACGTACCAACAGATTCAAGAACAGCTTCTTCCCTGCTGTTATTAGATTTCTGAATGGACCTCAAATTTCAAATCTAATTTTGATCTTGCTTTTTGTGCACTTTCTTTGCAGCTGTAACTTTATATTCCTCACTCTGTTCTGTCACCCTATGATGTTTGTATGGTATGACGCAAAACAAAACTTTTCGCTGTACCTAGGTATATGTGACGATAATAACAAATCAACTCAAATATCTGGAGAAGAGAATTCCAAAGACTAATGAACCTTTTCATCTTGTCTTAAATAGGAGACTCCTTATCTGTGTCCCCTGGTTCTAGACTCTCCCAATGAGGGGAACGCAGCCTCACAGCAGCCCTGTCACCCCCAAAACCCCACTTCAACTCATGTATATTTCAAAAAGATCACCTCTCATACTTTTTTATTTCAGTGAGTATAGACCTAAACTGTTCAACCTTTCCTCATGAGGTAACTGCCTTATTTCAGGAATCAATGATAGGTTTAGAGTTAGTGAACACTCTCTGAGCTACTTTCCATCTAAATATATCATTCCTTATGTAAGAAGATCAAAAATGTGCATAATATTCCAGGTGCAGCTCACAAATACCCTGCACAGTTGCAGCAAGACTTCGCTACTTTTATACTTCATTCTCCTTTGTAATAAAATATATTGCACAGGTACAGAGAAAGTGGATGATTGAGGAGTTAGGCAAAGTGTCAACTGGTAGACTATTCTGTTCTGGGTGGTGTCGAGCTTCTTGAGTGTTGTTGGGGCTGCACTCATCCAAGCAGGTGGGGAGTATTCCATCTCTCTCCTGACTTGTGCCTTGCGCGCTTAGTGGAGATTCTTTGGCGAAGCCACTTGATAAAGAACACACAGCTTGCGTTCTACTCTTATAGAGACAGTATGGATGTGGCCAGGCCAATGATAGCTTCCAAGTGGTGGAGCTTTGATGATGGTAATCCCATTCAGTGTCAAAGGGAAGTGGCTTCCTTGTGGAAGATGGTCATTGCCTGCAGATACTTGTGTGGTTTGAATATTGCAGTCAATCAGCCCCAGGCTGGATGTAGTCCAGGCCCGCTACACATGATTACAGACTACATCATTATTAATAGAATTGCAAATGGAACTGCACACTGTACAATCATCACTAAAGCTTCTGACCTCATGATGGAGGGAAGGGTACTGACCAATCAGCTGTCAAGTTTGAGCTTAGGATACTACTTTGAGCAACTCTTGCTATGATGTCCTGCGATTGAAATGATTTTATTCGATCCGTACAATAATCTTTCTTTGTGCTCAGTATGACTACAACTGGTGAAAGGTTTTCTCCTGGATTTCTATACTGGTCAATTCACTGGACTCCTTTGGTACCACACTCAGTCAAATGCTACCTTGATGTGAAAAGCAGTAATTCACCCCATTGCTGGGATATTGTATTATATTAGAGGTTATATAAATGCTGGTTATTTAAATTTGATTCCCTCTTTCTTGTGCTCTCTCTCTCTATATAAACCATCTGAATTTCTCAATGGCATTACTTCACTGAAGATAAAGCATATAATTGCACACACAGATGAGTCAGAAGACTGGACATAATGTAAAAAGCAGCAAAGAAAGACCAAAAGAGTAATAAGGTGGTAAAAATAAAATTACAAGAGAAAACTAGCTAAAAACATAAAAACTGACAGGAAGAGTTTTCATAGGTGTTTGAAAAAACAAAGTTAACAACGCGAACATATATTCTACAGAAAGCAATAGAAAAT